ATTGTCATACCCTGGACACGAGCCTCTTTGACAATTGGGTCGTGGAGTCGTAGCTCGCTTGTGTTTGACTGCACCCAATCCCGATCGATTATTTTGTTGAATTGCAGTTGCTACCTCTGAAAATGGTGAAAATTGATCGAACCATTCCATTTCTTCAATGGATAGAACGTAAAATTCATTTAGAGATGATCTTCTAAATGCATAATTTTGGGAATCTATTATGAATTTATGATAAAATAACAAATAATTAAATAAAAAATTGAATAATAATATGAATAAGAGATGAAATTGAATAATATGAATATATAAATTGAATTGAAGAGAATATGAATGAGAATTGGAGTAGAGAGATAGAGAGAATGAGAGATTGAGAGTTGGTGAAAAAAAATGGAGGTTTGGGATTAATTTATAGTATAGGTTTTATTTTATTTTTTTTTATTTGGTAAAATATCAATTTAAAACTTAATTTTTTTGTCAATTTCAAAATTTATGTGGGGTTTTTAGATATTTTCCAAAGGGTTTTTGGAAAAGGGGAAAAGGGTTTTGGACTTGGGCTTGGGATCGGTCCCAAGGCCGGGCCTTAGAGGAGGGACCAAGCTAGGGCTTGGGCCCTCCTCCATGGGCCTGGTCCAGGTTTGGGACCAAGCCTCCTAGGATCGGTTTTTTGGTCTGCTTTTTTTCGGTCCCAAATTCCCACCATATATATATATATATGCAGGCAGATCAAAATTTTGGGAATTTTTTTTGAATTGGTTTGGGTTGGATCCTTAATCAGAAGGACTAAGGATTTTCATGATATGAAAGGTTGAATTAGTGATAAATCATGGTTGGTTTTTATCCTCATAGTGTTTAAACTCACAAGAGTTAGAATCAACAAGAATAAATTCATAAAAATTTTGAGTTTTCCTTAAATCTTAAGGGATAAAATGAAAATTTTTTGGAAAATTTTGTTGAACTAATTGTTTAGGTTTTTCAAAAATACAAATGAAAACTTAAATAAATATTAAAACCAAACATGATGAATGATAAGAGAATAATTAAAGAATTTAAAGATCATTAAAAGATTATTGAAAGATTTAAGGAAATTGAACTTACAATAAAAGTTTTCTTTTTTGAGGGCTTTGGGAGGTTTACATGAAAAGAGAGTGGGGGAGGAGAAAGTTTGAGAATTGGCTTTCTAAAAGCTTAGTTCACATTGCACGAGTTTTCCTAATTTATAGAAATCTTATCTTATTATAACATCACATGGATATTATTGAGTAAATATTTTAATAATTTTTTTTAAAAGAGCATTAAATGTCTCTTTTTGCAGGGAATTTCTGACTCTTCAATATTAAACTCACAAGAGTCAGAATGAACAAGAATAAATTTATAAAATTTTTTAGTTTTCCTTAAATCTTCAATGATAAAATAAAATTTTTTTGGAAAAATTTGTTGAACTAATTGAATATGAAATTGTCCAAAATATTAGCAATATCCCTAATTTGATCTCAAAATTTAAAGTCAAGTAGTGGGATAAATTTGATGCATCCCACATGTCCAAAGAAAAAATTCAACTTTGTCAAGTTCACCTCATCAAACTCAGTACCCAATCATCAATTTTTTACAAAAAGAGTCTGTGGCATTAGTATCCTTAGCAGGAGTGAAGACAAAAAAAGAACTTAAAAACCACCTCAAAACTATTCTTTCACAACTCTAAGATGAAGAAGAAGAAGCAGAAGAAGATGAAGAAGAAGAATCTTACCGAAGCTCTAGTGCCTCAGTCAATCTCACCTAGAGCAATGAAGATGACTGTTATGGAATCATCTAAGTTGTTCCAAACAATTTGAAATTACCTCCTCTAAAAAAGAAGACTAGCCAAAGAACCGACATCCGATTCAAAGAATATCTAGCATAATATTGACGAGTCAAAGATTCCTTGCAAAAAGAGACATTTAATGCTCTTTTAAAAAAATTATTAAAATATTCACTCAATAGTATTCATATGATAATATAATAAGATAAGATTTCTATAAATTATGAAGACTCGTGCAATGTTAACGAAGTTTTTAGAAAGTCAATTCTCAAACTTTCTCCTCACTCACTATCTTTTCATGTAAACCTTCCAAAGCCCTCCTAAAAGAAAACTTTTATTGTAAGTTCAATTTTCTTAAATCTCTCAATAATCTTTTAATTATCTTTAAATTCTTTAATTATTCTCTTCATCATTCATCATGTTTGGTTTTAATGTTTATTTAAGTTTTTATTTGTATTTTTTAAAACCCTAAACAATTAGTTCAAAAAAATTTTCCAAAAAATTTTCATTTTATCCCAGAAAATTTAAGGAAAACTCAAATCGTTAATATATATATATTAACCATTTGGACAAAACCTTATCGGCCGAATTAGGCTGACACCCATTTGTCGACTGAAAGTCATCTTCAACCTCCAACCAAAATTTCTTTCCGAATCCGCTGAAGTTCGTCGACACCCATACCCAAATTTCTTAAGACCACCCATTTTCAAGATATCCACTCAAATATAAGCTTAAACAATTATAACAACAACAAATCGTCCCAAAAAGACCTTATTTAACATGTATCTTACACATATATGCAACATGCTTAAAACTTTAACTATCAAACAATATTCAAATATCAAAACTTACCTCTTTTCTGCTGTAAACTGTCAAACAAGCCAATATTTCAAGAAATCTATCAAAAAATTGCTCCTTAAGATCAGCATATCAAGTCTTCAGTCAGGATTTGACATTTGAAGAATGGGTTTTGGATTAATGGTTAAGGATTTCTCAATAAGGCTAATTTTGTCTGAAATTATTATGTTAAAGTGACTTGAGATATTTCTTCATAAACTTCTAAAAAATTACTAGTTTTTCAATTCACGATGTTGATGCAAGATATACATTAACTAGAGTGATCCGATTGACCTTGGTGGAATCAGAACCAATGTATGCGTGATTAATTAAAACCATAAAACTGATGAATTTAAGTGCACAAAAGTAAAGAATAGTGAACAATTTTTAAAGTGGTTCAGCAAGTTTGAATCTTGAGCTTATGTCCACTGTATTTCTTATTGCTTAAAGAGCTTACAAGAAATATTATAATATGCCTAGAACAATTTGCTAACCCCCTTCCCATCGTTTGAGAGAGTTTTTATACAAGTTTCTTACAAAGAAAAGAGAGCAATTAAAGAAATTACAATCAAGATAAAAGTGCAACTTCAATATTCTCACGATTGAGCACTAACATCACACTATGATTACTGTTGATCTTATCTCTTCTGAAATATCCAGGATTTGAACTTATATGTGATTCGTTCGAACAACTATCAGGGTTGGTTGCGACTAGCTTATGCTTGGTCAAGTTGTATTTCGACGAGATTATGATGGGTCGGACAAATGCGGAATCAAACTGATGCTAGGTCGAACTATATTCTCGCGGGCTTTTGACATATCCGAGCTTAATAGAAAAATCACACACAACATCTACCCCCTAGTGTTCGGTGTTTGTTTCGACCTTCAAAGACTAATTGCCCGCTTTGACATTTAGCTCAAACCTCTTCAATTACACATTGACCATAGGTTTAATCGAACTTTATCAGTTAGCCTTAGCTTCAGTTGACGTTAACGAGACTTAAGCTTTTTTGCTACGATATCCATGATAAATTTGGAATTTGAAATGAGGGGCATGTAAGTAATTTTCGTGTGGTCGTGTCGCATTAAATGCAGTTGACTTTTGCAGTTACTTTTCGTCGTCCACGTGTGAAGTCGAGGCGATGTGCGACAACTATTATGATTATAGAAGTCTGATGGTTGATCGCCCTTTTATGGATGATCGACACATGGACACGTCGAGCAGTCAAGATTGCTCAACGAATTGAGGGTTGTTATTCATCGCAGATCAACGGTAGAGGTTAAATCTCGCCCCTTCGTCTCCCATGCTCACCACTATAAAAACGAGCATTCTTCATCAAAATTACACATTTGCAATATCTCAAACCCATTTGCTTCTTATTCCATTGTTGCTCTCTCAAACTTACTAGCGACTTTCTAGCAAACTCCCACTGTGTTATGCACTTTGGTATGGCTCTTGTCTTCATTCTTTTCTATTTCAAGTTTTTTTATGTTGTCGAAGGTGGCCATTATCGTGGCCACTTTAGCTTTTTTAGGGTTTTTTGAGTAAAACCACTGGTTTGGGTTTTATAAGGGTTTAAGAAAGTGGCCATGGGAATCCTAACAACCCGCTTGTATCACTTGGTCAATGCAAGCTATCCTGGATGCTTGAACTGAAAGTAAGTGTGGATAGGCCACCGATATTTTGAGCTCTGACACTTGGGCGCTTCTGTTTTAAGTATTTAGAGGCATGCTTCCACCATGTCTTCATCTAGCAGCCATAACATAGATCGCCTTTTCAACTCCCTAGCAACTTAAAATGTTCGCGGGAGAGGAGTCCTAGAAGAAGTTTCTGAGGACTTTATTATAAGGGCTCAGACAGCGATGTTTCGGGCTCCTCAAACAATGCTTCTGTAGAACTTCCCCCGCCAAGGAGCTCACCAATTCCTAGACCTAGGAAGGAACCAAGTTCCTCGATTGGGGTAGAAAAACTTGAGTGCATAAAAGATATTTATGCAACTCAACTTCCGTTGATGGCTCCGAAGGTATCTCTCAGAAAAATCCCCCTAGAGGTTGGGCGGTGATTTTGGACACCCTTCTAAGGTGTGGGATGTCCGTCTCCCCTCATTATTTTATTGTTGACGTACTAAAAAGGTTCGACATTGCTCCCTTCCAACTGACTGGGAACTCATATATAATAATTGTAGGAATGTACATAGCATACCAAACAGCTAAATTAGGCAAGCTATCTGTGAACGAGTATAGGTTAAAGAAAAGTCAAGACCAGATGTACTATCTCTCTAAGGTGAGGAAAATACGCTTGAATGGCTTGGTCGAAGTCCCGAAGAAGATTGGGAATTAGGACTCCCAATATTTCTTCTATGAAGCCGAGGAAACCTAATCTTTGCCTTGAAGGCTAGTGAGTATCTTGATCTTTGCACAAAGCTTAATGCTTTTTTAGTCAGACACACGAGCTTACCTGATTTTCTTTGTTTTGTAGCAAACGTCAAGCAAAATTTTCTCCCTAAAGCAAGCCAAGAGCGGCTTCAACGTTTTGGGAGGCTCCTAAGCAGCAAGCACAATGTTATCTAGCTCATCACGTTTTCCTGCTTAGTAGCGTACAGTTTCTACAATGGCTTAGCAAAATTCTACACTATCTATAAGAAAGGTAAGTGTTCAATAGCTCGCTATTTATATCTCCATTTTTATAAGTCATTAACAGTTTTGTTTTTTTTTGTAGATATGTGGACTGATAAGCCAAAGAACCTAAAGAAGAAGGCGCCAGCTCATGGGGCTGCCTAGAAACTACCAATGATCCCAGCAAAGAAACATCTCATAAATCCTATCGAGGCGATTGGGCCTGGTTCCTCACGGCCAGCCCTTCAAGCGAACTAGCGGAGAACTTGAGGAAGGCCCAAGTGCAAAGAAGCCCACGACTGCTTCCAAGGCAGTCGGGCAAAAGGGTACTCTCGAGCTCCCCAAGGGCTCAACGAAGTACTCCGAGCCGGCAGGAGGCTCGGGGAAGAAGAAGGTGACCGAGTAGTAGGTGGGCTTGGGAAAGAGAAAATCGATTGAGCAGTAAGGAGGCTTGGGAAAATAGAAGTCGACCGAGCAATTGGAGGGCTAGCATAGTGACCAAGCTCTGTTTCACAATGTTTCAAAGTCTTCTCCTTTCATTTTTGCTAATTGCTTTTTCCTTTTCATGCTAGCATAGTGACCAAGCTCTTTTTTTATTAGAGTTATCCAACATTGTTGGGCAATCACCTGGGTTGGCAAGAAGCAGAGAATCTCAAAGAAGATGTCTTGGTGAAGGTCGAGGTGGTAGAGAAAGAGAAAGAGTCACTGCGAGCCGAGCTTAAGTGACTTAAAGAAGGGTAGGCCGAGACCCTCGCGGTCAATGAGAAGGAGTTTCTCGACAAATTCTCGAGGAGCGAGGTTGCCCAACAAAAAGCTGAGACGGACCTATAGAGGGCCAAGGAAGACCTAGCGTAGCAGCGAGATGCCAACAATAAACTGGCTTACAAGCTTGTCGTGGCTTAAAAAGCTGCATCTGACTGGGAAGCCAAATACACGGATGCCTTGGGCCAACTCTTCCAAGAGAGGGACGACCGCAAGGAAGCCAAAGCAGAGGCTGTTAACCTCAAAAAAGAGGTTAAAGGACTGAAGTCGAAGGTCAAAAGCTACGTCTAGGAGACTTTGATTTACTTGGTCTAGCAACTATGGGAGGCTCATCTCTCGCTAGACTTCTCTTTTCTTCCTGCCATCTACCAAAAAGAAATTGAGAGGATGAAGGTTGAAGCAGAGGGCTTGGAGTTTGTTTACTCAGACAGCTTCGGGTCTGATGAGAGTGAGGATGAATAAGGAGGCGACAAAAAGGAAGAGGTCGCAGTCAAGCAAGAGGTCAAGGACCGACCCCGCTTCCAATTGATGCCAGCGACCTTCCCCTGGGCGAGCCATCAAAATATGCTCCTACTCCTGCTCTTAAAGATGTTGTTCAAGTTCCTGTTGTCGAAGATGCTCCAACCCTTGTGGCATAAACTTTTGTATTTTTGTATTTTATTTTTTTATTTTTTTTATTTTTTTATTTATTTTTTATTTATTTTTTTGCTTTTAGTTTAGTTTTGTAACTAAACGTTGGCCGACCAATGGAAATTTTACTTTTCGCATTTTTTGTCTATCAATAGTTTTATTCCTGCAAAGTTATTTTAATTGTTCTATGCAAACTTAGCATAGAAAATTTGAATTTGCTCCAAGTTATGCGTAGCTCGCTTCTTTAGGAACTTTTTGAACAAATAAGAAAATCTTTCTTGAGACAACGTCGACTTTGGGCTGGTTGCCTGTCTCACGTTTTGGTCTCTGAATTATGATTGATTTTCTTTTGACGTGTTTTACTCAAGTGTTTTCGAGTTTTAACTTCGTCATGTCAGGGAATTTATCTCTTGATGAGTTGAATTATGGCATGGCTTATAAAGCTAAGCTACCTTTTTTTGAACTTTGGACTCCAAGTTTTAAGATGTTATCGTTCAGGTCGTGATTTTAAAATAGTAAATAAATAATAGTAAACAAAAGGGAAGTTTTGAATAATACTGAAAATTGAGATTTGGCCATAAAAGACCTTTACATTTGATATTGGAAAAGGATAGAGAACAAAATTGAACCCAAATTGCTTATCGGTAGTATCTTCGCAGATGTTTTATCGGTAGTATCTTCGCAGATGTTTGGCATTCCATGCTCAAAATACAACTTCACCGTTGAGGTGTTCCAGGTGAAAAGTTTCTGGTGTGAGCTTTTCAAATATCCTAAAAGGACCTTTCTATTTGGGCCGAAGTGCCCCCAATTTTGGATTCTGTGTACTTGGGATTACCTTTCTGAGAACTAGGTTGCCCACTCCGAAATCTCAGTTCTTGACTTTAAAATTGAAATATCTTTTAACTCGCTATTGATAAGAAACCTTTAATTGAGATTCAGCCTAGTGCTCTTCGATTAAGTCTAGTCTCAGACGAAGAATATCTTCGTTTATTTCCTTATCAAAAACCTCTCTCCGAAACGAAATAATTCCGACTTAAACTGTGGTCATTGCCTCGCATCCATAAGAAAGCGAGAATGGGGTTTTTTTTGTCAAGCTTCTTGTTGTCGTTCTGTATGACCATAAGGTCTCGGGTAATTCATCTACCCATCTTCCTTTAAAAGAGTCGAGCTTCTTCTTAAGAGTATGCTTGATCACCTTATTAACGGCTTTTACTTGATCATTAGTTTGAGGCCGATAAATAGCGGAGAAGCTTTTCTTAATGCCGAGCTTTTCACAAAACAATTGGAAGCCTTTGCAATCGAATTGCTTTCCATTGTCGACTATGATTGTATGGGAGATTCTAAATCTACAAATGATGTTTTTGTAAGCGAAAATCCTTTTAAGTTGTTCAAAATAATGGTAGCTAAAGGCTCAGCTTCTACCCACTCGATGAAGTAGTCAATTACGACCACCGTGAACTTGACACCTCCTTTTCCCTGAGGCAAATGACCTATCAGATCGATTCCCCAAATTGCGAATGGTCATGGGCTTGTTAGAGTGATTATCTGTTGTGGTAGAGCTCGCAAAATAGCTTTGAACTAACATTTATCGCACTTCCATACAAAGTCGGCCGAATCGTTGAAGACTGTCAGCCAATAATATCCCTGGTGAAGTACCCTGTATGTCAAAGATTTGCCCTCGGTGTGATAACCACATATACCCTCATGGATTTCCTTCAGGTTGTACTCCGCATCCTCATGATCAACACATCGCAAGAGCGGGGAGTTATAGCCTCACTTATATAACTTGTTGTCGACAAACGTAGACCGAGCTGATTTTGCTTGAAGGGAGAGGCTTCATTTCTTCCTTCGAGCACTGTCTCATCTTTCAGGTACGCGATTATTGAATCCATCCAACTGTACCTTGACCCTGTTACCAAAACTGCTTCTTGTGATGCGAGGATGCTTGGACTTGGGAGGAATTTAACAAGAATAGAATCAGTTGTTTCTTTGCTCATCGCCAAAGCCAAGCGAGCTAGAGCATCAGCTACTGAATTCTTCTCCCTTGGAATCTGCAGAACTACAAGAGTCTTGAAATGTTCAAGTTTGGATTTTACCTTCGGGAAATAGGACGTCATTATGTTCTCTTTGGCTTGATATTCTCCGAAAATTTGGTGTACCACAAGCTGAGAGTCATTGTATATTTTGATTGACTCTACCCCCATTTCTTTAGCAAGGTAGATCCCCTAGAGCATGGCATGGCCTCATATTCTGCCTCATTGTTTGAGGCAGCAAACACAAATCTGACTACAGTTCTGATTGGATTCCCTTTAAGACCTTCGAGCAGGAGCCTTGACTCCTACCCCTTCTCGTTTGGGGACCCATCCACGTATAAGGTCCTTGTCATAAACTGTTGAGCTTTGGCCCCGTTGGCTTGTTCTCTTCTGAGGTGCTCGCTTCACGAGGGCTTACCTCCCCCTCGAGCTGATAGGAGAACTCTGAAATGAAATCAGCCAAAGCTTGTTCCTTGATTGCAATTCTCGGGAGGTACTTGATGTCATGCTAACTTAGCTCTATAGTCTGCTGAATTAATCTTCCTGATGGCTCAGGCTTCTGCATTATCTTCCTTAGTGGAAAATTTGTGAGTTCATGTATGGAGTGTGCCTGAAAACAGGGTCGCAACTTACGAGCGGCTAAGATGAGTGCATAGGCGAGCTTTTCCATCTCTGGGTACCTTGTCTTAGCATCGAGCAACCACTTGCTCACATAATATACTAGCCACTACACTTCTCCTTCCTTGCGTACCAAAGCCGCGTTGATCATGGACTTAGATATCGATAAGTATAATAATAGAGGGTCGTCCTAGATGGGCTTTGATAACAAAGGAGGTTGCCCCAAGTACCTCTTCAAACTCTTGGAATGTTTTCTCGCACTTTTTTGTCCACTTGAAACCCTTATTGCCCTTTAAGGTTTCAAAGAAAGGCAAGCACCTATCAGTAGCTCAAGAAACGAACCTACTTAATGCGGCCACTCGCCCTGTCAAACTCTAAACTTGCTTTATTTTAGTTGGACTCTGCATGTTTAGGATAGCTTAAATCTTGTTTGGGTTAACTTCAACACCTAGCTAATTTACCAGGAATCTCAAAAACTTCCCCAAGCTTACTCCAAAAGCGCACTTCAAGGGGTTTAACTACATTCAGTATTTTCTGAGGATACGGAACATTTTCTCTAAGTGCTCGATGTGGCTTTTAGTGACATTTTATTTGACGAGCATGTTGTCAATATACACCTTCATGGTTTTGCCAATTTGCTCGATGAACATTTGATTCACCAAACGCTAATAGGTCGTTTCAACGTTCTTCAAGTCAAATGGCATAATCCTGTAACAATAGATACCATTATCAGTAATAAAAGATGTATGTTCTTTATCGGGCTGATATATCAAGATTTGATTATAACCCGAGTAAGCATCCATGAAGCTTAGTAGTGCGTTCCCGACAGTCTCATCTACCAACTAATCGATCTAGGGTAGCGAAAAGTTATCTTTAGGACATGCTTTGTTCAGATCAGTGAAGTCAAAGCAAGTCCATCACTTGCCATTCAACTTTTTCACTGAGATTGGATTGGCAAGCCAATCCAAGTACTTCACTTCCCAAATATAGTTGATGTTCAAGAGCTTATCAACTTCATCTTTGAGCGCTCTAGATCGCTCATCATCCATAGATCTTCTTTTTTGTCTTATCAATCGAGCCCCTGAACCGACGTTTGATTTATGGCACATCACCTCGGGGCTAATCCCCACTATGTCTGCATGTACCTAGGCGAACACATCGAGGTTCTTCAGGTTCTTCTTCAAAGACCTAACTAGACTGTTGGCCAACTCATCGCTCAAATTGCTCCCAATTTTTAGAACGCAAGTTGGATCTTCCTCATTAATAGGTACTTCTCACAACTCTTCTATTGGCCCTATCGCGGGCTCTTCTTTATGGATGCAACGATTTATGGTATCCTCTAAAGGTTCAAGTTTTGGCTTGAACTTAGCGATGATCATAGTCCTCGGGAGTGCCCATTTTTGTGCAACATGAATAGCCCGATTGTAGCATTCCCTTGATTCTTTCTTGCAACTTCTAATCATTGTGATTCCGTCTAGAGTTAGGAATCTCATTACCTAACAACGCACTAAGACGGCTGCGTTCAGGTCGTCCATGAGTGGCCTTCCCAAAATGACGTTATAGGTGGTCGAGCAATCAACCACTAAAAAATCTGCCATCACCTTCCTTATCTGAGGCTTTTCCCCAAGAGTTACAAGCAGCTTGATTGTTCCCTTGAGGACTAAGCTATCCCTAATGAATCTTTACAACGGTGACGGACATGCCCTTAAGTCTCATTCAGTGAATCTCATTTCTCAAAAAGCTCCCAAGAAAATGATGTTCGCTGCACTATCATTATCGACCCTAACCCTGAGTACTCTGGCATTGCCAATCCTCTCCGCGATTACAATTGCTTCATGGTTGTGGCGAGGGGATTAGTCACATTCTTCCTTGGTGAAACCTATCACCTGCTTTCTAGTCTGGGCCGCTTAAGTGGCTTTTGCTCATAATTCATTAGGGAACCGAGTTTGTCCAAGCCTCCTGTGCATATTGCTCGCGAGAACACCTGGAGCTCCCTGCAATGTTGAGTCCCCCATAGATCATACCTACCAACACCTCGTTGTTTGGTTGGGTTTGTTGGATCTAATTATTCTGCTTGCTCGGATTTTCGCAAGCTGGCTCCTTCTTGACAAATTCTTTCAGATGACCTCTTCTAATCTGGTCCTCAATGACATCTTTTAAAGCTTGGCACTTATTAGTATTGTGCCCAATGTCTTGGTGGTACCTGTAGTATTTTTGGCAATCTCTTCTGCCCGGTGCTGCCCTCATTCTCTCCGACACGGGTAACTTTCTAGCCTCGTAAGAGGCTTCATAGATGTGAGCTACATCTTGTGTCAGGGGGGTGTACTCTGCATACCATGGAAAATGTTGTCTTTCCTTGCGAGATTCTGTCTTCTGCCTTTTTTGGAACCTATTTCGGTCCCTCTCATTATGATCTTGGCCCCTCATTTTATTTGTTGGGCAATCTTGTCGCCTGTCCGGGGCTCTTATGGGTAAGCTTCTGGCTAAGGCCGCCAACGAGCTTTCTACTCGTTGATGTTTGGCGACCATTTGATAGAACTTGGCCAAGCTCACATGATCTTCGCTTTGAAACTCTTTCCATATTTCGATCTACAGCCTTATTCCTGTCATAAGCAAAGTGTCGATTGACTTCTCGTGTGCATCCGCGACCTTTGCTTGTTCGTTTTGGAACCTCATGAAAAACGAGGTCAGAGTTTCATCATTTTCCTAAACCCTACTTTCCATATTTCTGGCAAGAAACAAGCAACTAGAATGATCCGATTGATCTTGGTGGAATCGAAACCGATGTGTGCGTGATTAATTAAAACCAACAAAGTGATGAATTTAAGTGCATAAAAGTAAAGAACAGTGAACAATTTTTTAAGTGGTTCAGCAAGTTTGAATCTTGAGTCTACATCCACCGTAATTCTTATTACTTAAAAAGCTTACAAGAAATATTATAATATTATAATTTACAAAGGAAAGAGAGAAATTAAAAGAATTACAATCAAGATAAAAGTGCAACTCCGAAATTCTCTCAATTGAGCGCTAAGATCGCACTATCATTACTGTTGATCTGATCTCTTTCGAAATATCCAGGATTCGAGTTTATCTGTGATCTGTTAGAACAATTGTCAGGGTTGGTCGCGACTAGCTTATGCTGGGTCGAGCTGTATTTCGACGAGCTTATGCTGGGTCAGACAAATGCGGCATCGAACTGATTTTAGGTCGAACTATATTCTCGTCGACTTTTGACATATCCAAGCTTAATGGAAAAATCACACGCAACACATGGGTGCAAATTGTGCTATTTAATATAATTTCTCAAAAATGTACTTGGGTTTTCAACGAAAATTAATAGTCAATAATACCCTTCTAAAAAGATTGAAACATCTAAATAAATTAGTCCTCCATTAATTTCAATGGCAAAATCTAAGAACGAGGGTTAGGCTCTAATTTTGCATTCTAATGAGTGTTTTTTGTTGTTTCTTGTTGTTTCATAAAACATACGAGGATTGCCAAATTATGTGCTAATTAACATTATTAATGTTTTTAAACTCTATTACTAATTTGACATACATAATTTGCCTTATGATACAAGTCATACAACTGATGTAATTATCTCATCGCTATCAAATAACCACTCATAATTTTTATGTGCGTGTAACAATCCTGACAAACGAGTAAATCAAAATCCTTTGATTTTCCCGCATAACAAAGTCTCTTGAATTTTTTCTTGATCTTGTCAAAACAGTGTAATGTCCGAATTAATTTAAATGTGAACTCCTGATTGATTCCTTGAATATATTATTCTTATTCCTTTCTCGTTGTCTATGTCCAGCAGTACATGTGTTGTAATAAACTTAGTTTTTTCCTGGCACCTTCTTTTTTCGAAATTACAGACAAATTTTCAACACTAGATATCAACGACGACTCCAGCATTTTCTTGCTCTTATCGAAGGCATCCCACCGCCGCTATATATACAAGCATCCACCAAGCAATGCTCTTCAGGTTTTCTTCATTCATATCTATCTTATTACAAAAATGGCTTCTTGGACCAAAGCAACCACTTTTGCTGCCTGTTTCTTTGTATGGATTTTGATGGTTTTTGCACAAGATGGATTGGCCATGGACGCTAACATGCCAGGCATGGATATGCCCCCGATCGGGGCCCCAACTCCGGAGCCACCGAAGCAATCTCTAGGCAACCTCGCTTCACCATCAATGATGATTGGTTTCCTGTCTATCCTTGTCGCATTTCTTGGTTGCTAGGGAGCTGTTTTGTTGTTGAACTTTGTCCTCGTTTAATCGGTTTGTGTTCTTATTGGTCTCGTTGTTAATAATTTTTAGTTCCTGGTATCTGTTTTATTTTCTTGATTATCTGATCAGATATCATGTTTCTAGTATATGTAATAAATCACAGTCTCTATGCACTGCTGTCTATTTATTTGGTTGTTTACAGTTAATGAGTGAAATGTTTCAGACGTTGCGGCTTGGAATCATGTAGATGCATGCTACCATGACAGCAAAAACAGAAATAGGCCTCTATAATCTAAATACAAACAATGAATTATCAATGATGATTCTAATTTTATATATGAAACTCGTGTATAATCTAATTGCATAACCAGAGGGCTTTATAAATTTTAAACTTACAACCCAGCTAGCTAAAGAAGCAACATGGAGAACTGCAAACAAATTATCACTCACAGATTCTTTCATGCTGATCATGCTCACTTGATGAAACTTGAACCAAATCCACTTCTTCTTCTTCCCTTATTTGAGGTAGACAAAATACTAATAATGAGACAAGGGGCTGCATTTCAGTATTACAGTATAAATGCAATTTATCAAGCAAACTGGTGGTAGTTTGTGGTTAGTTTTGTCATGCCCCGAACATCATTTTGACCGTCGGATATATATATATATATATATATATATATATATATGCAAACCCTTTTTTTCTTTTTTGAAGCTTCGCATTTCATTATAACATTTGGCTCACGAGAGAGAGTAATTGTTACAGACTACTTAGAGACGTCAAGGAGGGGAGATTGGTAGAGAGAATATATATGCTCCAAATAATCAGTAAGAATTCTTATAATTAGTTGAATTTAAAAGATAGGAATGTGCAAATGCTGCATGTATGGCTGCTCCAATGGGAAACACATCCTCATCAATAAAAAAGTAAGGGCTATGTGGAGGATATGTGGCTCCCGCCTTCTCATTCCACATGCCTAAAAACAGGAAGGATCCTGGAACTTCATCCAAGAAGAAAGCAAAATCTTCACTCCCTGTGAAGCAAGGAGCCACTTCTACTTTTTCTTCTCCCAATAAGTCAACTGAGACCCACTTTACATGTTCATATATTCTTTCATCATTCACCGTTGGAGGAAGTGTGGGATGTTCTCTTCCCTCGAAATCAACCTCGGCAGAGCACCGATGCACAGCCGCCTGCCCCTTGATAACCTGCCGGAAAGAAAATGAACTTAAAATTTGTACTTCTATATGCAGAACATTCTGTCTTGATGATATGTATAATTTAGAGATTTACCATGCAATTAAGTTACTTAAGTTTTAGTTACCTCTTCTATCCTTTCCCGAAGCAATGAGAAGCTCTTTTTGCTGAAAGCTCTAAAAGTTCCGGCTATTGTAGCCGAGTCCGGGATAGTATTATACTCTGTACCTCCATCAATTATGCTTACAGAAACCACCTGCATTATTTTACAATACTTATGTAAGGCGGAAAAGCTCAAAATTATACATAGGGTTGAGAAGTACATGATAAATTAGGATGGTAAAAACCTGAGAATCTAAAGGGTCAATTTCCCTTGCAACAATATTTTGCAAGCTAATTACAGATGACGAAACTGCCAAAATTGGATCAATAGAGTGTTGTGGAATTGCAGCATGTCCTCCTTTCCCACTAATTTTCGCCTTAAAGCTCCCACATCCAGCTAGAAATTCTCCGGGCCGTGATGAAACAACACCGGTGGGATACTTATGCACCAAGTGTACACCAAAAATGGCCTCAACGTTTTCAAGCGCACCTTCTTGGATCATATCTTTTGCACCTGTACCCCGTTCCTCAGCCGGTTGAAATATAAGAACAACAGTACCCTACATAGAAACAAAAAGAATAGGATAAAATTAAATACAAAATTTAATAAAGGAGAAGAATACTATATACGGTTGGGAACAGCAATTTTTTTTTGAAGATTTCCAATTAAACCTTTAATGTGTGTCGCAGTTCTTGCAGTATCTTTGCAGCACCGAGGAGCATGGTAACGTGCGCATCATGAGCACATGCATGCATTTTGCCATTTACTTTACTCTTGTGTTCCCATTCCGCCAGTTCCTGCAGTGATTTTCAGTATGTTAGAAATCCGGTGCCCAATAAACTCTTAAATTAAACCCGAGAGTATAAACGAACACTGGCCATAATCTTCTCAGCAGAGTGATATATATATATATATATATATATATATACTTCAAAGTCTTATTGTTTTAGGCTCCAATTGAGTCCTTAGAAGGAGAAAATATGACATTATGAAGTTGCAAACTTAAAAAACTTCTCCTTCATTTTTTTTCCAAAGCACACAAAGCCATCAGATCCGTATCAATCTTTAGAAGCCAGAAACTTTCGTGCTGCTTGCACAAAACAATCGAAAGTAGAAATGCTTTGCAAAACATCTATCTTTC